AGATAATAAATGCAACAACAAGTTTTTGAATCAATATTCTATAAATAATATGTACCCAGGAAGAACAAAAAGCACAGCTCTCTTACAAAATTTTAAGAAATCTATGATAGTCAAAATTAGGACAAATTATTTGAAATTCCCAATTCCTCCTAAATATAAAGAATTACAATTTAAAATAATAAATAACATATATCCTTCAAATGAGTTTTTAAGAGAGAGATTTAAGTTTAATGTTGAGAATTGTGGCTTTTGTACAACTCAATTGGAAACAACTAAACATCTTTTTTATGAATGTAAAGAAGTATTAAACTTATGGGATCAACTTCGAACCTTTCTGTCTTCTAAAACAATAAATTTAGATTTTATTTCCTGGCAAAACATTCAATTCGGTTTATCCATTAAAGAAAAAAAATTTGGAATTTTTAATCAATATTCTAATAATTGTAACAAAGTATTATATCCATAAATGTCGCTATGCAAAATGCTCCCTCTCAATCTCTGCTCTCAAAAATGAACTTTCCCTTTTCAAAAGATGTCTGAGAAAGATGCAGAATTTAAATGCAATTAAATTGTTTGAGTTAATAGAAGAATTTTAGTTGGTAGTCCCCACTGATTAATTTACTTTAACTACTATTATTATTTTATTTATTTTTATTTTATTTTATACTTTGTTCCAGCCTGTGCATTTAATTTTATTTTTCAAAAGCAGGAGTTGTGATATTTCTTCTTGTATTGAAATATTTGTTATTGACTTGTTATTTGAGATTGTTATTGTTTTCTTATATATTCAATAACAAAAAAAAAAAAAAGTGGAAATCTAAAAAAAAAAATTAACCATTACAGCCAACTGATTCTGATTAAAACTAATTTTTGAAATAAATTATTTTGTGTATTTTTTTTACATAACATTTGCATACACAGTAATCTAGCGTACTTTAATTAAACTTTACTTTAATTAAATAAATCAATTCAAGCTAAAATGTAAGAGTCTATAATTAGGCTATACTGAGCCTGATCTATTTCTACCATCTATTTGGGGGATATTTATTGCCACACTTTGGGCCACTTAAAACCAATTTAGCATGCTGACCTATGTCCTTATGACCACAGTGTACCAATCTTCTGATGGCTACTTCCAACAGGATAATGCACCATGTTATAAAGTGAATCATCTCAGAATCATTTCTTGAAACTTTTCCACTTAAGTAATTGTGAATTGAGCATATTGACAGACAACATTTTATTTTTTATCTTAAATGCAAATTTAAAAAAAAATAATTACCGCTCTAAATGTATTGCTCTGTCAGCTAAAGATCTGTTTTGCTCTCTATACTTTAATTAAATAAATCAATTCAAGCTAAAATGTAAGAGGCTATACCTGATCTCTTTGTATCAGAGATTTTCTTAGGGCAACCCTGGTTTGCATTTGTATAGCTCACAGCATGTTCATTTACATGTTAAAGCCTCCTCTAGAATTCCATGGGGGGGAGGCATGGGGGGAACACTGCCTAAGAAATTCCACGTCAATTTCTGACAATTTACGGGAGTTTTCGGCGAAGCCTGCAAATTGCCGTAAACTGCCGCTAACCTGAAGTTCCACGACAATCTACAGTGCCGTATATTGACGAAAATCCCACTTTTCATGCAGTGAGAATGATGAAATGGGGGTCCCTATGTCCTCCAAAAGTCTAAGCCTATAGCAGCATAACTATAGAGATAGCTCAGGATAACCTGAGCCACTCTAACTATAAGCTTTATCAAAAAGGAAAGTTTTAAGCCTAGCCTTAAAAGTAGACAGGGTGTCTGCCTCACGGACTAAAACTGGTAGTTGGTTCCACAGGAGAGGAGCCTGAGAACTAAAAGATCTGCCTCCCATTCTACTTTTAGAAATTCTAGGAACCACTAGTAAACCTGCAGATTGAGAGCGAAGTGCTCTGTTAGGAACATAAGGAACAATCAGATCTCTGATATAAGATGGAGCTTGGCCATTTAAAGGGATAGTTCGGTATTTTTGACATGAATCTGTATGGCATCCCGATCACCAGCGGCATGCAATCACACTGACTTACCTCTGGCAGCGTCCTGTGAGCAGAGTTATCGTCCAGTTTTGGTCAAGCCGAAAGTAGTCCTGCAGGTTTTTAGGAACAGCGAAATAAAACTTTTCTCTTCCCAAAACATTATGTGTCCAAAAGAGTGATATTTTCGCATCCCAAAAACATTGTAGTGGAAAAAGTCACACGTCGTTATCAATTGGTCCTATTTTCTCTCTGTTCGTATCAGTGCGCGCCGTCATTCAGACAGCGAGCCCAACAACAGCCATGTCTCCTTCCGCGGCGGAAGGAGACATCCCGAACTATCCCTTTAAGGCTTTATATGTGAGAAGGAGGATTTTAAATTCTATTCTTGATTTAACAGGAAGCCAATGAAGAGAAGCCAGGATAGGCGAGATATGATCTCTCTTTTTAATTTTCATTAGAACTCTGGCTGCAGCATTTTGGATCAGCTGAAGGCTTTTAACTACAGTTTGTGGACTTCCTGATAGTAAAGAATTACAATAGTCCAGCCTTGAAGTAACAAATGCATGGACTAGTTTCTCAGCATCACCCCTGGACAGGATATTTCTAATTTTTGCAATGTTCCTCAGATGAAAGAAGGAAATTCTAGAAACCTCTTTGATATGGGATTTAAATGACAGGTCCTGATCAAAAACAACACCAAGATTTTTTACTTTATTATCTGAAATCAGTTTAATCCAATCCAAATGAAGTGACTGGCTAATCAGTTTCTTTTTCAGAGACTCTGGTCCAAAGACTATAACTTCTGTTTTGTCTGCATTCAGAAGCAGAAAGTTAAGAGTCATCCAGGTTTTTATGTCTTCAAGACATGCCTGTAATCTATGTAATGGGTTAGCTTCATCTGGATTTATAGACAGATATAGCTGGGTATCATCAGCATAACAGTGGAAATTAATCCCATGCTGTCTAATAACTCTACCAATTGGGAGCATGTATAAAGTAAAGAGAATTTGTCCCAGCACTGATCCCTGTGGTACTCCACAGGTAACCTTTGAGCGTGTTGAAGATCTATCATTAACATGAACAAACTGAATTCGATCAGATAGATAAGATTTAAACCAGTCTAGTGCTGTTCCTTTAATTCCAACAAAATATTCAAGTCTTTCTAAAAGAATATTATGGTCAACTGTATCAAATGCAGCACTAAGATCCAACAGGACGAGCACAGATACAAGTCCATTATCTGAGGCCATGAGAATATCATTAGTGACTTTCACCAGAGCTGTTTCAGTGCTATGATGAGCTCTAAAGCCAGACTGAAACTCTTCAAAAAGTTCATTATGGTGGAAGTGATCGCAAACTTGTTTGGCAACTACTTTCTCAAGAATTTTGGATAAGAAAGGAAGATTGGATATAGGTCTATAATTGACCAAGTCATCTGGGTCAAGAGACGGTTTCTTAAGCAGAGGTTTAATTACAGCAACCTTAAAAGCTTTAGGTACATATCCCTGTAACAGAGATAGATTAATCACATCTAAAATGGAGGAGGAGATCAAAGGGAATACCTCCTTAAATAACCTGGTTGGAACTGGATCTAACATACAAGTTGAAGGCTTAGATGAAGACAATAATTTTGCTAATTCAGAGAGTTCAACTGGATCAAAGCAGTCTAAACCCGGTTCAGATTCCATGACTACCTCAGGTACAAACGCGGATAGAGGAGTGCTTATGATCTTATTTTTAATAAGATCAATCTTATTTATAAAGAATCCCATAAAGTCATTGCTGCTAAGAGCAGGTGGAATGGACGGTTCAACAGAGCTATGGCTCTGGGTGAGTTTGGCAACTGTATTAAAAAGAAATCTAGGATTATTCTTATTCTCCTCTATTAATGAGGAGAAGTATGCTGCTCTTGCTTTACAAAGGGTCCTCTTATACAGCAGTAAACCATTTTTCCAGACTAGGAAGGACTCTCGCAGGCCTGTGGAGCGATATTTTCTCTCCAGTTTCCTAGCATTTTGCTTCAAAGTACGCAGCTCTGCATTAAACCAAGGAGCAAGCTTTCTATTTTTAACGGTTTTCATTTTCAAAGGAGCTGCGTTGTCTAAGGCAATACGCAGAGAACTAGCAACCCCATCAACAAAATCATCAACCTGTGAAGGGGAATAAGCTAAGCTTTTGCACTCTGCAGCACTGCTCAGTGACACAGAGGAGAGAGAAAGTGAAGCAGATTCTTTAAAATTTATAACTGCACTATCTGATAAAGATCTACTAAAATTGAACCTTCTTTTGGGGGAGGAGAACTCTGTTAAAGTAATCCTGAAGGTTATTAGAAAGTGGTCAGAGAGGACAGGGTTGTGAGGAAATACTGTTATTTCTTCACATTCTATGCCGTATGTCAGCACAAGATCCAAAGTATGAAGATGAGAATGCGTGGGACTATTCACATTTTGAACAAAGCCAATAGTGTCTAAGATAGCATTAAAGGCTGCTCTTAAGCTATCGCCTTCAATGTCAGCATGGATGTTAAAATCTCCCACTATGATTCCTTTCAAGAGTGGATTGAATTAACGCCTGAAATAATAAGGACGTGCCAGTTCATTGGATAGCTTCATATCAAAATGGCAATTAACCTAACAAACCAATATAAAAAAATAAAAAAAATCGGATATCCCAAATGAATGGTGGATGAACTATATGGAACCCCGAATGATTCATAATTAAATAAATAAATAAAAATTATGAAATAAATACAATTTTGATAAATAACAAACAAATATATAATATGGTCATGAAATAAAAACAAGGTAATGTTATTATGAAATATATATTTTTATTCTTTAATATATTTGTGTGTTATTTATCAAAATGGTATTTATTTAATAAAGTTTTTAATTAATTTAATTATGAATCATTCGGGGTTCCATAGAACTAGTCTATGATCGATTGTGGTGAATGTAATCTGTTACACTTTGACATCGTACGACTAGTTGTTTGCAAGGGCTGCTGTGCACTCGGATGTAGGCAGGCAACAACATTGAGGAGATCATCAACAACACCAGCCTGCAAACCGTAGCCTCTCTGCACAAAAGGTAAGAACGCTCTTGTAGGCTACTTTGTTTATTTATTTGTTTGTCGTCATCCAGCGGGCAGACCTCTGCTGTTTTTGCGAGTTAACTAAAGTTCGTTGTCTCAGCTGTGAGCCAGCTAGCCTTTTGCGCTACTTTAGTGGAAAACAGGACAGACAAACCGTATGGTTTTAGCACTACCAAATATCTTTTATCATCCGTTTCTGGTGTTAAGCCTACTACTTTGGCCGCGAAAGTTATAGCCAGCCAGACGCCGAAGCAATGTTTCATAACTTGAGCCTATGATAGGAAGCCAAGTAATATCCAAACTTGCCGACAATAGCCTAGCTTAGCATGATCACTGTCTGATTCTGATAGGCAGTGTTAGGCAAGCTACTTGTCCAGTGTAGTGAGCTAAGCTATCAGTTACTCAACAATAAATTAAGCTTCACTACACAAAAGCTACCACCTAAAGAATTATAGCAAGCTAAGTTACACTAATGTGTTAACAGTAGCTTAACTACATCAGAAGCTACTTAACGTTGTACCAAGATAATGTCAATTCAAAATGAGTCTGATACACTGGTTAAAATATTTATTAAAGATCAGCCAATGACATAACACTGTGTAAAAATTGTTTTATGATCAGCATAATAAAAAAAACTAAAGTATTTACTAGTAGACCAAAAAATAAACAATCTGCTGTTATTTCAATCTGAAAAACTCACAGAGAGAGAAAGATGCAATTAGAAGAGTTTATTGATACAATAGTTTGAACTTTGGCGCTCAGGCCTCGGCAGGAAACATAAACGCTGATTTATACTTTAATGCAGATAAACTGATGTATGAGAATAAGGATATTCCCCCCGGGCCTGAAACTGGTGGTGGAGTTTAGATAGGTGAAGTTTGGTTAATCCATAGAGGCTGGTATACAGGGTGATGCTTGAGTTAGATGTCACTGAATGAACAAAGTTTGCATAAACTGTCCATGAAGAGCAAGCATGAAGCGACTGTGGAGAGAAAAAACTCCCCTTTGGGAAGAAATCTCTGGCAGAACCAGGCTCAACGTGGCGGTCTTCTGCCGGACCGTTTAAAGTGACAGGGAACTCCATGAAAGTCCGGAGGGAGTACACACTGGAGGTGAGGTTGAAGGAGCATCGAGGAGGAGTCGGATGAGCTTCCTACAATGGTGGAGAAGGGGATGGAGGTGGGTTGTCTGAATCAAAGTCCGACATAGGAGCGATGGATCTTGCGCTTGTTGAAGAGCAGGCCTAGAGATGATTTGGAGTGGCTTTAAGTAGAGTGCTGGAAGATGATTGGGCATCAAGGAAAGTGGCTTGAAGCGGGTTGGCTGCGTCGGAGGCGGATCAGCCTCAGATTGAATGGAAGTAATCAGAGTTTCTTCAGTTGAATTTCCGCTTTAGCTTCATTTCAATCTGAAAAACTCACAGAGAGAGAAAGATGCAATTAGAAGAGTTTATTGATACAATAGTTTGAACTTTGGCGCTCAGGCCTCGGCAGGAAACATAAACGCTGATTTATACTTTAATGCAGATAAACTGATGTATGAGAATAAGGATATTCCCCCCAAAAATTGCCGAGGTACAGGCCTGAGCGCCAGCATATGCAGAAAGCAGAGGGAGAAGGATGAGTACAGGAGGACTTCATTATGCACAGGCTGATACACGTGATAAATGAATAAACATGACAGGGATCATAGCAGTGAGCATGGCAGAGAGAAAATAAAGGAGTTTTGCAGAATGCTTAGCAGGGTGCATTGCAGGAAGCATTGAAACATTGCAGGGAGCATTGCAGGAAGCATAGGAACATGCAGGGAGCATAGCAGAGAGCAAGGCAGGAAACGACAGGGGATGTGGCGAGGAAGCAGGTAGGGAGCAAGGCCAGGGACCACAGGGAGCATGGCAGGGAACAAGGCTGGGGACCACAGGGAGCATGGCAGGGAACACACAGGGAGCATGACAGGGAACAAGGGCAGGGAACACACAGGGAGCATGGCAGGGAACACACAGGGAGCATGGCAGGGAACAAGGCCAGGGAGCATGGCAGGGAGCATGGCAGGGAACAAGGCCAGGGAGCATGGCAGGGAGCATGGCAGGGAACAAGGCCAGGGAGCATGGCAGGGAGCATGGCAGGGAACAAGGCAGGGAACACACAGGGAGCATAGCAGGGAGCATGGCAGGGAACAAGGCCAGGGAGCACACAGGGAGCATGGCAGGGAGCACACAGGGAGCATGGCAGGGAGCACACAGGGAGCATGGCAGGGAGCACACAGGGAGCATGGCAGGGAGCACACAGGGAGCATGGCAGGGGGCACACAGGGAGCATGGCAGGGAGCACACAGGGAGCATGGCAGGGAGCACACGGGGAGCATGGCAGGGAGCACACAGGGAACAAGGCTGGGGACCACAGGGAACATGGCAGGGAACACACAGGGAGCATGGCAGGGAACACACAGGGAGCATGGCAGGGAACACACAGGGAGCATGGCAGGGAACACACAGGGAGCATGGCAGGGAGCACACAGGGAGCATGGCAGGGAGCACACAGGGAGCATGGCAGGGAGCACACAGGGAGCATGGCAGGGAACACACAGGGAGCATGGCAGGGAGCACACAGGGAGCATGGCAGGGAACACACAGGGAGCATGGCAGGGAACACACAGGGAGCATGGCAGGGAACACAGGGAGCATGGCAGGCAGGTAAAGTGGCAGGGATCACACGGGGAGCGTGGCAGGGCGCATGGCAGGGAACATGACTCACGGGGAGCATAGCGGGAAGCATAGCAGGAAACACCCAGGGAGCATGGCAGGGAACATGACTCACGGGGAGCATAGCGGGAAGCATAGCAGGAAACACCCAGGGAGCATGGCAGAATGCAAGGCAGGGAATGAGGCAGGGAACACACAGGGAGCATGGCAGGGAACAAGGCCAGGGAGCACACAGGGAGCATGGCAGGGAGCACACAGGGAGCATGGCAGGGAGCACACAGGGAGCATGGCAGGGAGCACACAGGGAGCACACAGGGAGCATGGCAGGGAGCACACAGGGAGCATAGCAGGGAGCATGGCAGGGAACAAGGCCAGGGAGCACACAGGGAGCATGGCAGGGAGCACACAGGGAGCATGGCAGGGAGCACACAGGGAGCATGGCAGGGAGCACACAGGGAGCATGGCAGGGAGCACACAGGGAGCATGGCAGGGGGCACACAGGGAGCATGGCAGGGAGCACACAGGGAGCATGGCAGGGAGCACACGGGGAGCATGGCAGGGAGCACACAGGGAACAAGGCTGGGGACCACAGGGAACATGGCAGGGAACACACAGGGAGCATGGCAGGGAACACACAGGGAGCATGGCAGGGAACACACAGGGAGCATGGCAGGGAACACACAGGGAGCATGGCAGGGAGCACACAGGGAGCATGGCAGGGAGCACACAGGGAGCATGGCAGGGAGCACACAGGGAGCATGGCAGGGAACACACAGGGAGCATGGCAGGGAACACACAGGGAGCATGGCAGGGAACACACAGGGAGCATGGCAGGGAACACACAGGGAGCATGGCAGGGAACACACAGGGAGCATGGCAGGGAACACAGGGAGCATGTCAGGCAGGTAAAGTGGCAGGGATCACACGGGGAGCGTGGCAGGGCGCATGGCAGGGAACATGACTCACGGGGAGCATAGCGGGAAGCATAGCAGGAAACACCCAGGGAGCATGGCAGAATGCAAGGCAGGGAATGAGGCAGGGAACACACAGGGAACATAGCAGGGTGCGTGGCAGGGAGCAATGATTTAGCAAAGATGAGAATATATTTTAAACCACCACCAGTATTCGAAGTTAGCTTACCTTACAGACAGAGAGAGCGTTGAGCTGCTAAGATTGAAGAGTGTTCAGGGCGGATATAGGATTTATAGGCTGAAAAAGTCTATCGGCCCAACTGCTGGAGAGAAGCCACAGAGACACCACGAGCAGCTGCTTGTGGCTGCCCCTATCCTAAATGAGTGGCTGGAATAATGACTGGATGAAAAGCCACAGGATTCTAATAGTATTCTGAGATGGTCTTGGAACCAGCATGGTGACGCGGGAGAACCCTTGCGCGTGACGAAGCGGCTTGAAATGAGGGAAAAACTTTTGGCGCTTTTGAACAGATTAAACATGGTGATAAACGGGCAAAGGGGCCATCTGTACGTAAGATAGAAATAAAACAAGGGCCTTTCCTTTAGAATGATTCAAGATATTTGTAAGATCGATGTGGAAACGAAGATCCGAAAGAGAAAAATGTCGGGAAGGATCGAAACGACTATTAGTTGAAGTGAAGCTAAACCTGATTTATGTAGAAACTGGAGGAAGTAAGTACGAACGAAGAGAGTGGGTTAGTTAAGGATGAGTTCTTCTAGCGGAGGAACGGGGGTCGGAAGGAGATCGGCAGAAGGACGAAGATGTGGAAGGTCTGAAATTTAAAACGAGAAAGAGCATCAGCAGCATGGTTAGAAAGACCAGGAACGTGTCGAGCAGAGATGATGGAGTTGTAAGAGACTGCTTGCCAAGTTATGCCTCTAATGAATGGCATGAGAGATTGAGAGGAGGAGCGACCTTAGAGATGGCGTCAACGACTGCCATGTTGTCGCAGAAGCGGATATGCGCATTCTCCTCCAAAGCGGGCCCCACAGACGGCAAGCTACGGCTAAAGGTAAACCTCGCATAGCGCAAATGACTGAGAACTAGTAAAAGAGGGAGGCCATGAACCAGCAAACACCTGTCCTGAAAGAAACCCCCCAAAACCTACGGATGGGGCAGCATCCGTGAAAAATTGGAGCGTGTCAGCGTTTGAATGATGCCATCGAAAATAATTTGCCCTTCCATTACAAGAAGTCTAGCCCAGAAGGAAGGATCGGAACGGCAACCTTCGTCCAGAGAAACCTAATCTAAGAGAGAGGGAACAGAGTTAGCTAGGTCAAGCAGTCGGGAAATGAAGGAACGACCATGATGCGCACGGCAAAATTAAGGTGACCAAGCAAAGAAGCAACTGACGTTTGGAAATAATTGATGCAGAGCTATAAGACTGAGAAATCTCACGAATCTGAGACAGCTTGTCTGCGGGCAGGGATGCCATCATGGCCACTGAAACGAGAGCTATGCCTAGAAACACAATTTGTAACAGGGCCGATGGTTTTTCTTCGGACAGGGGAACACCAAGTGGTTAAGAACTTTAGTTTAAGGAGTGACGAACTGGGCTAATGGAGGGAGGATCTATGCGTAGGAAACCATCCTGAGATGAAGAACGCATGGCAAATGAGTAACATTAAGGAGAATCCAACACAGAGCTTCTGAGATTGTCAAACAGACAATGACTACTCCTGCAGCGGAAGGTGAGACGGACAGCAAAGTAGAACAGAGACTTCCATTTAGCTCCGAACAGGAGCCATTGAGAAGGGTGAATGAAAATAATTTTGTCTGCTTTGGCCAGCCAGGCCCCTTGGCCGGTGGTCTTAATGAGAGAAAATAGCGTGGTCTACAGAAGCGTAGTGAAGAGAAAAGGAGGAAAGAGGGAAGAGGCTATTTATGGAGGAGTGACGGCCAGAATGAGGGGCAGATAAGTCCAATATGAGCCTCATTTTCCCGGAATATAGCGGTTAGCTACCACTAGGGGGCTCACACGAAAGGGAGCAGACAGAGAATGTTTTGAAAGGACCAATCGTGAAACTCTTGGACACAACTGTGAAGCAGCTGATCTACGACGTCTGGTTCTTTAAAGCAGATTGGAGATTAGGGGAGACGTGGGTGAGGGGGGGTGGGGGGGGTGCAGACTCCGAAATGAAAACCTTGAGACAGACCGGTAAGAATGAAGTTGACGAAAGTGTGATCGGATGATGGGTAAGATAAATTGCCAATTCAGAAATAATGATGGGCGTAGAAGATGACGGGCTATTAATGTTTGAAGGTACGATTTCTCATGAACAGAACACGACGGGGACAGACGGACTTGGGATGCGCATCCTAGCAAAGCTGCAAATGTGGAGAAACTGCAATTAGGAAAGGTGCATGTACTTTCATTAAACTTATTACAGATGGGTCTGGAATTGAATATCTGGACGTTTCTACCAGAGTCTGGGCTGGGCAAGTGTAGAAGAGAACGGAGGAGGAATAGATTGAATGCTGGACTTAAAGGGTATAGATGGGTAAAACGCACTCGGATGATTTGAAACAGCTGTAATGTCACCTGCTGAGGCGACTTGATGTTCAACTTCACAGAGGGGAGGGTGAGTGAAACTAAATTAATATATTTCCCTTATATAATATTGGAACAGGCAAGGAGAAACGTTAGAATACATAGAAATATATAAACTGCCTGGATGGAAAGGGCGGGGGAAGCATAATGAGCAGAATGAAAAAAAAAAAAAAAAAAGAAAATTATAATAGAAACATGGTTAGATACGTCTTACCTAGAGCTGGCTGAGGGCGGGCGTAGGCGAGTGTGAATGTAGGAGGAGGAGGGAGGGGATCCCGCTGCGAAGCTGAAGGCAGTGATTACATGGCAGTGTGGGGATTTCCCAAGGCTTGAACACGTGAAGACAGAGACTGAACGGAGCGATTTAGAGAGTCCAGGGTGGAGCATAGAGAAGCCGAAAACTGGTCAACTGCGGGAGGATTGTGGAAGGGTGGAGCCGCTATGGATTGAGAAACTGACATGGTGGGAACATCTGAAGAAGGACCTGGGTTTGCGTCGGAACGGAGAGAGGGACCGGGCGCTATGGCGGCTGCAGCTGGGACGTTCTCTGCTGCGTTTGCATGACCGCTTACGAACCCTGGAGCGGAGTGCGGAGGACTGAGATGAGAGAGCGGCTAGACGGGAACTTCTTCGAGCCGGAGGATTGGAGGTAAGTTGATTTGTCTGAATCAAAGTCCGACATAGGAGCGATGGATCTTGCGCTTGTTGAAGAGCAGGCCTAGAGATGATTTGGAGTGGCTTTAAGTAGAGTGCTGGAAGATGATTGGGCATCAAGGAAAGTGGCTTGAAGCGGGTTGGCTGCGTCGGAGGCGGATCAGCCTCAGATTGAATGGAAGTAATCAGAGTTTCTTCAGTTGAATTTCCGCTTTAGCTTCATTAGAACCAAATTAAAGGTACTGTGTAGTGTTCTACACATGGAGACATGGCTGTGAGTTTGCATTCAATGGACATCTCTAGGGAAAACAAAACCCTACAAAAGGCATCTGATTTCTTTAGGGTTTCCCTTAGAGAAAACTTCTTCAGACCTCAATTAAACAGTCGATTCAAGTAACAAATAAAACTGTTTACAAAAAGGTGAAAAAAGCTAATTAATATATATACATTTATGTCTCACTGTATAATTTAACTTCTACCCACATATTTATTCATTGTATTTTGGGGGGTAATTAATTGAATGCTTATTTATTTATTGAGCATGTATTTATTTATGTATTTATTTTATATACGGTAGAGCTGTTCCTCCATACCTAAAAAATCGTATCTGTGCAAATAAGCCTTAAAACAGATTTATGTAAACATCCTGTCTGGTAAACTAGGCCATGAAAATATAATATCTAAGTTTGGCTACTGCTCTCTAATGAAAATATCTTAGTGGCACTCATCAGACGTAAGAAACTACTAATTTGATTATTTGCTTCAATGTCCCAATACATCATACTTTCATAAAATCATGCAACATACTCTACCCTATCTGTGGACAAATAACTGTGTTATTTGCAAAGTAGGTGCTGGATAAACAAATAAAAGTGCTTTAATGTTGCTTTAAAGAAACAGACTTATCCTCACTAAAGATACCTGTAGCATTTTCCGTTATCAAAATCGGATATGCTCTACAGCCAATAATATTTAGCAGTGTAGCCACCCCTCAGGAAGTGGTCTAACACACACACCCAGTTGTGAGGAAGTGCAACGATTTTAGCTTAATTTGACCTATGGGTAGTGATGCCATGCTGCAGCAATATATAACTTAATGTCATTGTGACCAATTTTCTTTTTGCATTTTCAGATTAGTGCAGAATTCCATCGAATAACAAATATAAATTTAAAGAGTACATTTTATTCTGCATTTGATAAGTACATGCCATGGCTAATGACGATGTACCGTGAGAAAGCGGCCCGCACTGGCAAAACTTCTGAATTGCTAAGAAACATCTTCAGGACCTATGATCTCCTTGTATGTAACATTTCCTACCTCATGACAATTTGTACTATAGTATTTTTTAATATATGCATATGATTAATATTCTGCTTATTCTGCAATTCTGTCTTCCCATTACCCACAATCCCTCTGTCTTCTAGGAAGACTTTGATGTTAACAGCAGACGAACAATTGCTCTGCAGGCACTTCCCATCTTCCTGCGTGAAGATGCTGCTGGATTTTTTTAAGACCTGGAATGTAAGTTTATGATTCAACTAGGGCTGCAACAACGAATCGATAAAATCGACTTTTAAAAGCGTTGGCAACGAATTTCATCATTGATTAGTTGTGTCGCGCGATTAATGCGTCATCCGCCGCCGCCGCCGTCATCACTGCCACTTGACTGAAACGGGGGAAGAAAAAAGAATTACGGCAGAGCGAGTCAGCACCGCAGGTGCGCAGTGTTGCCAACTCAGCGACTTTGTCGCTATATTTAGCGACTTTTCAGACCCCTCCAGCGACTATTTAAAAAAAAAAAAGCGAATAGTGACAAATCTGGCAACTTTTTACGGTGTCACTGGCGGCCTTTGGAGACTCTTACGTGAAAGCATGTATCATTCCTACTCTGCCGTGAGGCGCCTCCCCCATCTCAACCCCGTTCTCCCACAGGAGTCCCTCTCAGCGCTGCAGTCAGAGCCGCAGGATGTTTACCCTCAGCGTCCAGACTGCAAATGAAGCGCGCATGCGCCGGGATGGACGGCGCAAATTGATCACAATAATTAAAACAGCCTTTATAAATAAATTAACTTGCAAATTATGAGGGCAAGGCTTTTAAAGTTTAAATCTTCTGGCAAAGATAAAGTAAAGAAGATCCTGCAATTTATGGAAGTAAAGCAGAATAAAATCCAGCAAGATCAGTAATATGTCAATTAATTATCTGCTACATTCCCATGTAAATATCTGTCTTTGGAGGATGTGTTTTTTAGCACCCCTAGTTCTCTCATTTTTATTCCAAATACAATTTATAATTTGAATCACAGGCTATTTTTATCTCTATGGTTCAGTATTTTCTCAAGTAGCAACTTTAACTGCTATACTTTCCTGTCTTAAAAGGCAGAACTCTTCTAGTCTAAAAAAACGCATTTGTTGAAATGGGGGGGCCTATTGTTTGAACCCCTTAGGGGCTTTTAAAAACAAAAATGTATTTTTTTGCGCTTAATGAAACAAAGTACCCTATATTTTGTGGATGTACAGCTACATTTCTCATGTAAGTTTGCGTAGTTTTAACACAAACATTTATTTTTCATATTGCACCAGTACAGTTAATGAGCAACCTGTATTTGTGTGCTTGTTTGTTCTGTCTAAAATGTTTATTTTGGAATAAAGAGGTTAATATAAAAAATATTTTTTGTCCGATTCATCGATTAATCGAAAAAATAATCGGCCGATTCATCGATTTTTAAAATAATCGTTAGTTGCAGCCCTAGATTCAACTGTGTGTCCTCTTTTACTCTTTCTTTTTCTTAGTTTGTGTATCTCTATAAATATATTTTTTTTCTATTTAACCCTCTGTTACTGCCAAAAGACAACAACAACAACCCTCTTCCTAGCCACCAGAAAAGCTATTAAATCATACTGTACTACAGTAATTCTCCAAGAATGTCATATTTGGGAATTTTACCTGAACTTTTCATTCACTGGTATTTCATATTAAATACACATGTACTGTTTTTCATTGACTGCTCTACTCATTAACTAATTACTGTCATGTTCTTTAGGCAGAAGACATTGACCTGCCAGACCTCTCGGATACAACTGTAGCTGTTCTCACCATCGGCGTCGCCAGACCCCATTTACTGGGGCACGTGCCCCAGTATAAATGAGCTGTGCCCCAGTATAAATCTCATGAATATTTGCAACAGTGATACATTTTTTAATGCATCAATTTAGATAATTCCAACAGGAGGAGACGTATATTTCTACTCAAATGCGCAGCAAGTGTGTCGTTAACTCCAAATTGAGGATGTAATAGCGCCCCCACGTCAGCGCATGTCACTGCATGAACTGCAGGTAAACTAACGCGCAGCTCTCAACTGTTTTGGATGGGACACTGTGCGGCCGCGACGCATTTTTAGTTCTGGTAACGTTTCTTACCTGTCAATTTTATTATTTTCCCAGTTAAACCACATGATTTATAAGCTACTAACTGAAAATGACTGCATTGGTTTGTAGATGGATATCAGGAAATTCCTCACACGAAGCAGAGACAGGGAAGCAGTAACACAAGATGAGAGGGAGGGAGGTAAGGTCTTGTGATGAATTAGTGATTTAAGCTAAGCAGTTACATTAGGGACGTTATAAGCAATATGATAGATATTTGCATAATAATAAATTTACGTTTTTTAATGTTTGCTGTAGAGAATGAGAATGAAGGTGCTGGAGTAGGAAAGGGAGGAGGACGCGAGACTGACAGGCAAGAGACAGGAGAGACAGGAGACACAGGTGAGAGACAGGACCATGAAGGTGATGAGGGAGCAACAACCAGCTTCCACAAATAAGAAGGGGACATTAGTGACTTAGGGGGAAAGCATGATAGTCCTAGACAAGTGAAGTTGTCCCACTATCCCCAGGACAAATTTGGAGTAAAAAAAAACTTTAATTTAATTCAAAATGGTTTGAAAGCTTTTCCTGGTTGAAAAGAAAGCCTTGTCATCAAGGATATGCAGTGTGTTTTCAACTTGCTTGATAACACCATGTTCCCCACACTAATGCAGGTCATCTAGACCTCCCTCACAATCACAATTAACAGCTGGAGTTGTGAAAGGTCATTCAGTGTGTTGAGAAGGATCCACACTTGGCTGAGGTGCACAATGGGACAAGACAGGCTCCATCATCTTGCTATTTTATCAGTTGAAAAGGAAGAACTTTCTAAGCTGAGTCACAGTCTAGTGATTGACCGCTTTGCAAAAATGAAAAATAGGAGGTAAACTTTAATGCTCAAAAAATAAAAGAAAAACTTAGTTCATGTTGAGTTAATGATTACTTCAGAATGTGTATAAGGAAACTTTTTATTTGTCAAAGTTGGTGATGTCTTATTTTTTATAGCTGCAATGTTGAAAATGTTCATGTTTGTTAAAACAAATATGCTCTTATACTCATTAATATCTCAACTGGTAATTTTGGTAGGAATGTATCAGGGTGGGGCAGTGTGCTCGTCTGTATTTGTGTATGGAAGGAGGGGCATATGCACTAGGGGGCCAGTGCCCCAGTAAAGCTTTGTGCCTAGCAAAGCCCCTGGTTCTCACTGTCTCGAATGATACAGTCTCCCTTGTGAAGTTTGGTCCTGCAATACATTCTATAGTTCTTGAGGGAGAGATTGTGGTATGTGATATACTATAGCACAGTTAACAGAGACATTCATTTTGCTTTTTGGCTTGATTTATGCACTACATCTACAGTATCCCAAGAAATTGACATATACATTCAATTTCATCCAGAAAGTTGTAATGGGTTTGGATGACCTGAAGCGGTTACCTCCGAGACTGCTTAGCCTTAAAAATGATCTGATGATGGATGAGTAAGCAGTCTGCTTAAAAGATGTCGTTGTTACTACCAGCATGGTGATACTCAAGCAACCATTTTGTCTTTGTTTTTTGTTTTCGCTTTTTTATTTATGTTGGCCTATTATTGTTGGCCTATTATTTTTGGATCGGCCTATTATGTTGGCCAATTTTTTGTTTTTTGTGGATACAGAGAAGCCGATGTTTCAGAAGGCAGCTTTGAACAGACCTGCAGATTTGTAATTGTTTTTGACTTTATCATTTCAGTGTTTGGCTTGAGGTCCCAGAGTTTCGTACGGAAATGCTTTGGTCTGCCTTGAAGTCACTGGGAACTAAAAGATCTTTTATGGTTTTATTTGCTGAATAAATAAAACCGTATTTATTCAGCATTTTGATTGAAAATGTGGTTGTTATTTGTTTTATTTTCTGTATTAACCCCATTGCTGGGGACATTGTTCTGAATTCTAATGGACTTCATAAATAAATGGAATCTGCAGTAAAATTGTCTTTTGAATTTTTTTTTATTTGAATCATACAAATAAAATATATTTGATTTTGAGAAGAATTGCTAACATATACAGGCAATAAAATGTGTTTAAATACAGTTAAGTCAACTTAAAAATATAAAAGGCTGAATTGACAATGTTTAGGTCTGAGAAACTGAATGAGTCATGGTGATAACATGAAGATATTATTAGGGGTGATAACTTAAAAAAATCAACTCCGTGTCCAGTGTCAATTTTGTTAGTTTTAACATTACTTTCAAAATGATCAGGTTCATTAAACTTATCAAAAATTTAAGTAGTGATTACTTAAAATGTTAGTTTGTGAAATTATTATGTTTCAGTTCATCAACTTCCTCAAAATAAATGAGTGTGAATAACTTTTCTAGTTTAGAGTAGTAATTACTTAAAATGTTTGTTTGTTGAAATTATTTGTTTTAATGTTGTTCATTTGACCAAAGATTTTAAGTGTAAAGAGCTTGTCTAACTAATGTAGTAATTACTTAAAACATCTTTTTCTCACATTATTCTTTTTAATTTTATCCTTGTCCTCAAAGATTTTGAGCACTAACAAAAGTCTCATTTTAAGTAGAAATTACTTGAAATATTCTATAACATACAGTCAGGTCCATAAATATTGGGACATCAACACAATTCTAATCTTTTTGGCTCTACACACCACCACAATGGATTTGAAATGAAACAAACAAGATCTGCTTTATCTGCAGACTTTCAGCTTTAATTTGAGGGTATTTACATCCAAATCAGATGAACGGTGTAGGAATTACAACAGTGTTTATATGTGCCTGTCACTTTTTAAGGGACCAAAAGTAATGGGACAATCTGCTGCTCAGCTGTTCCATGGTGAGGTGTGTGTTATTCCCTCATTATCCCATTTACAAGGAGCAGATAAAAGGTCCAGAGTTCATTTCAAGTCTGCTATTTGCATTTGGAATCTGTTGCTGTCAACTCTCAATATGAGATCTAAAGAGCTGTCGCTATCAGTGAAGCAAGCCATCATTAGGCTGAAAAATCAAAACAAACCCATCAGAGAGATAGCTAAAACATTAGGTGTGGCCAAATCAAGTGTCTGGAACATTCTTAAGAAGAAAGAACGCACCGGTGAGCTCAGCAACACCAAAAGACCCGGAAGACCACGGAAAACCACTGTGGTGGATGACCAAAGAATTCTTTCCCTGGTGAAGAAAACACCCTTCACAACAGTTGGCCAAATCAAGAACACTCTCCAGGAGGTAGGTGTATGTGTGTCAAGGTCAACAATCAAGAGAAGACTTCACCAGGGTGAATACAGAGGGTTTACCACAAGATGTAAACCATTGGTGAGCCTCAAAAACCGGAAGGCCAGATTAGAGTTTGCCAAACAACATCAAAAAAAGCCTTCACAGTTCTGGAACAACATCCTTTGGACGGATGAGACCAAGATCAACTTGTACCAGAGTGATGGAAAGAGAAGAGTGTGGAGAAGGAAAGGAACTGCTCATGATCCAAAGCATACCACCTCATCGGTGAAGCATGGTGGTGGTAGGGCATGTATGGTTGCCAATAGAACTGGTTCTCTTGTATTTATTGATGATGTGACTGCTGACAAAAGCAGCAGGATGAATTCTGAAGTGTTTCGGGCAATATTATCCGCTCATATTCAGCCAAATGCTTCAGAACTCATTGGACGGCGCTTCACAGTGCAGATGGACAATGACCCAAAGCATACTGCGAAAGCAACCAAAGAGTTTTGTAAGGGAAAGAAGTGGAATGTTATGCAATGGCCAAGTCAATCACCTGACCTGAATCCAATTGAGCATGCATTTCACTTGCTGAAGACAAAACTGAAGGGAAAATGCCCCAAGAACAAGCAGGAATTGAAGACCGTTGCAGTAGAGGCCTGGCAGAGCATCACCAGGGATGAAACCCAGCGTCTGGTGATGTCTATGCCTTCCAGACTTCAGGCTGTAATTGACTGCAAAGGATTTGCAACCAAGTATTAAAAAATGAAAGTTTGATTTGTGATTATTAATCTGTCCCATTACTTTTGGTCCCTTAAAAAGTGGCAGGCACATATACATACTGTTTTAATTCCTACACTGTTCATCTGATTTGGATGTAAATACCCTCAAATTAAAGCTGAAAGTCTGCAGATAAAGCAGATCTTTTTTGTTTCATTTCAATTCCATTGTGGTGGTGTATAGAGACAAAAAGATTAGAATTGTGTTGATGTCCCAATATTTATGGACCTGACTGTAGCTAAATATTTTGAGGTAATCAGTTTCATCAAATATTTTGAGTTCATTGAACCTGTTGGGGTTTACAGTGCAGGATCTGGTATATAAAGGGCTTTGGTTTCTACAGGGCTTTGGTTTCTAAAGGGCTTTGGTTTATAAAGGGCTCTGGTTTTTAATGGGCTCTGGTTTATAAAGGGCTCTGGTTTATAACCGGCTTTGGTTTATAATGGACTCTGGTTTATAAAGGGCTCTGGTTTATAACCGGCTTTGGTTTATACAGGCCTCTGGTTTATAAAGGGCTCTGGTTTATAACAGGCTCTGGTGTATAAAGGGCTTTGGTTTCTAAAGGGCTTTGTTTTCTAAAGGGCTTTGGTTTATAACGGGCTCTGGTTTATTAAGGGCTCTGGTTTTTAATGGGCTCTGGTTCATAAAGGGCTCTGGTTTATAACGGGCTCTGGTTTATACAGGGCTCTGGCTTATAAAGGGCTCTGGTTTAGAACAGGCTCTGGTATATAAAGGGCTTAGATTT